CTTCTTCAGATGCAAGTCTTGCATCTGAAGAAGTGAGGTTCTTACCCACGAAAGTTTATGCTCCCAGTACTTCTGTTAGTCTCAAAGGTGCCACAGGACCCTCTGTTGCTTTTTACAGATTCAGACTAACACGGCTACCCCTCTGATACATAAATAATATTGTACATATGTAAGAGTTTTCAGATTTCTTCTTCATATACTGGCAGCATACATCTTAAATCTTTCTAGAAAGCAGCAGCCAATGGAACTGGACACATGTTAATTGCACTAAGATTCAGACCTAATGTTATATTATAAGGAGTTGTATCCTGACCCCACTCCAGTTCCTTTGCTGCCAACCTTATCTCCCAAGATTTACCACCTTATACACGTCTTCAGTGACAAGAGTGGAAAGGTACTGGATTGGGGTCAGGGCTACTGCTTCTTTAGGTCAGCACATTCAGTGCCACAAGTGAGCATCGGCATGGCCTCAGAGTGACATCAGAACCTGCATTCTGTTAGCTTCAGCAGAACACCACACAACCCAGGTATCCCATCTCTACTAGCAGCCAGTGCTGTTATGCAACCCCACTCATCTGCTCAGCTCCATTATGCTTCCCACCTTCAACCTCCCGATCCTTACCTTCTCCCTCCACTTTGTCCTTCTCCTTCCCTATGCCTTTCCCCTAAACCACTCTACTCACCATTTTTCTGCCTTCTCCCCCTCTACTCCTCCTTTCACATACCTCCCTCATCCCTCTCTCATCACTCCAACTCTACTACTCAAAAAATAAATCACTTTAGAATGCAGGTTTTGGTATCACTGGACCAGGAGAAACAAGGTCTATAAAGATGCTGCTGGTGCTGTGTTCCCTACTGCGATTGTTGCAGAAACTACAAGAGAGCTGGAGCTTTTGGTGCTCCACCCCAAGAAGGCCGTAAGGAGGAGTCAACTGATAATGGGGAGCCGCATAGTGGTGGGTAATGCTGGCACCTTGTGTCTCTGGGACAGCCAGATTTCTTGACATAACCTTGTCTTCTCCTTGTCTTCACGAAACTCCTCCGTCTCTCCTGTCTGTCCAAGGTGCTGCTGCCAAAATCACCTCCCTCTCTCATCCCTTCAACCATATCACCCCCTCTGTGGGTCACTTGCCTGGTTTCCTGTTCCTCTGTATATCAAGGGTAAATTTCTTACCTTTGCACACAAACCCCTACCTTATGCAGCCTCTGCAAATATCTCTAAGCTGGTCTCCTTCTGCCTTTCCCTTCTTCCCCTCTGCTCTGCCAACACCATTCTCTCACAGGCATCTCCATGCTTTCTTCCAAGCAGCCTGTTATGCTTGGAAAACCTGTTTGTCACACTTCCACCCTCATCTTCTTGAAGTCACTGCTGAAAACACAGTTCTTCTGTGAAGCCTACAAGAAATGAGAGGGAGGATTAGGAATAATAGTCATAAATAAAAACCCTTGAATCAGAACCATCAATATGTGTCTATGTCTTACTGAGTAACTCTGTAATATTATTATCACCCTTGTCCTTCCTCCTCCCTCCCATCTCTATCTGTTTATGACCCTCACTTACTGAATGTAGACTACAATTTTTGGCATAGGGACCATGTTTTTACTTGCTATTTTGAAAGGCACAGCACAGTTCTGAATACGTAAACATCATCATTAATAATAATCATCTGGAGAATGGGTAAATATCAAGTTGCTTATTACAGAGCTTGCACTCTCTTTCCCTCAGCATGAGTAATGTTCATTCATCCATAAAACCCCAGCCTACACACTCTGTGCTTTCTCTGGTTACCTGTTACCAAATTAAAATCCCATTCAGCTGCACACCTGCAGGAGGATTATCTGCAGAGCACTGTGCTGTAGTCAATTCTACACCTACATTACATATAATACACTGTAAATCACAGGAAAGAGACCTAGGTTTCTTATAACCTCAATGGACAACAATGGCAAATAAGCAAATCAAATGCTTTGATTTGTTAAATGGATAGAAAAAATAAGGAAATAATTAACTGCATTATAGAAATCAATGGTGTGTCCTCATGTCAAATACTCTATCAAAAATGATATAAACGTGTTAATTAAAATGATTAGAGGCAGGGTAAATCCCTAGCCCCAAAGAAGGCAATGGTAAGAGTCCTATTGACTTTAACAAAACCAAGATTTCACCCTAACGAGGTATGCCACAGGAGCAAAGATTGAAAGGACCGGGGTTCTTTATTTTGAAAAAGAGAAGAATAAGAGGGGATATGACAGGGTATATACAATTATATATTATTATACTGAAGGCTAGTCTGGTGATTCTGTTAAACATATCCCACGTTATGAGGAGACTTAATTAAATGAAAAGGTAAAAAATGTGGGGGCACAATCCTGCAAGCACCTATGGATATGAATAATCTCACTGAATTCAACAACACTAATCATGTGCATAAAGTTATTCACAGGCATAATAATATCTAATTCTTATATAGTGCTTTGCATCAGTACAGCTCAAAGCACTTCACTGTCTATATTGTAGCTATCTTTACAACACACCTGTGAGGCAGGGAAATACTATTATCCCTATTTTACAGATGGGAGAACTGAGGCACAGAGAGGATAAATGACTTGCCCAGGGTCATACAGGAAGGCTGTGGCAGAGCAGGGGCTCACTCCTGGGTCTCCCATGCCCTAGGCTAGTGCCCTAATCACTGGATCATCCTTCTTCTAAACATAAGTGTTTGCAAGAGCAGACCCTTGAAACAGATAACAGAAAAGACATTTTATTCAATAGCAGGAGGATCAGGTATATAATCTCTCCACAGTGATAATATTTACACTTCCATGTTTTATTTGCAGCTCATCCAGGTCATGTTGGAAGACAAAGCTACTAAAAGTTCAGTTAAACTAAATCTTCCAGTTGGAAAGGAAGCACTTGTTACTCTGAAAGATGGACAGAGATTTATTATTCGCACCTGTGATTCACCGCAGAGTTGCACTAGCATTTGTTCCAGGGAAATCCAAACAGACTCATAAGAATTGTTTACAAGGGATTTATTGTACTTACCTGTATGCTTAATATAAATTTAAGAAAAATGTTTTATTTTTCTGTGAAATTAAAGGGCTTTTTTCTGTAAATACTAGCTACAGAACTGTGTTAAAGTATTATTTATTAATTATTATTATTTATTTAAAGTTTTCATGTATTTAACTGTTTGGCTTATTTGAGTAAATATATAAGAAATCCTAACATGGAATGTACCTGCCTGCTTGGTTTTTGTTCTTCTCTGTTTCTAATAGCTCTGTCATCAATAATGTTAAAGACCTACCTGAAACCACAACACCAAAGAAAGTCAACAGGAACTATGGGATGGACTATTAACCCCATCAAAATTCTTCTTTGTGTCTACAATATGGACGCCAGAGTTCAGGCTGCTATTTTGTCTTTGACCTATCCTATTATGCTTGGTATCTCAATTTATACAGAGCCCAGCTCTAATCTCAGATCCATAGATATGTGTTGCCATGAATCTTGGAAAAATTCCTGCTGAACTTCCCATTTCTGCAGAATACTGTGGAGTCAGTATCTCACATACAATGTTATTAGTTAAGACGGAATAGGTCCTATAATATGTAATTGATTTTCCCATATGTCCAACACAAAATTGTCTCAATTTGCTGTCTGACCACAACACAAGCAGAATTATACAGAAAATATTGGGAGATACTGGAAATAAATGTGTAGAAAATTTGTGGTATTCTACAGGATACTAAATTTATATCACAGCAGCATTTGCTTTGGGAGACTGACTAGCTGTGGTGTGGGCAACACTTGGGAATTAGCTTTTTCAAATAGTTTTAAGAAGCATTAGTACAGGAAGTTGATCCCACCATGTAGAATGTAATTCACTATTGCAAGAAATTGGGAGGCCGTGGAAGGCTTCTTGACTGAAGCTCCCCTGACATTCCCTCTTTCTTAGGGTTACCATATTTTCATTTTAAAAAAGGAGGACACTCCACGGGGCCCCGGCCCCGCCCCAACTCCGCCCCCTTCCCCAAAGTCCCCGCCCCAACTCTGCCCCCTCCCCTGAACGCTCCGCCCCCTGCTCCTCCCCCTCCCCTGCTTCCCGCGAATCAAATGTTCGCGGGAAGCCTGAAACAGGGAGGCAGCAGGTAAGCTGGGGCTGGGGCTGGGGCTGGGCGTGGCCCAGGCCAAGAGGCTCTGGCCCCGGCGTCTCCCGCCCGGTTCGGCTCAGGCCCTGGGGCGCCGGCCCCGGCCCAACACGCCTGGCAGAGCACCACCGCCCCAGGCCGAGCACCCCTGGCCGAGCACCGCCGGCACTGGCCCCCGGCTGAGCACCGCCGGCCCGGCTCCCGGCCACGCACCGCCGGCCCCAGCCGAGCACCCCCGGCTCCGCACTCCTGGCCCCGGCCCAGCACCACCGGGCCCTCCCTATTTTCCCGGACATGTCCGGCTTTTTGGGATTTCCCCCCCGGACTGGGATTTGAGACCCAAAAAGCCGGACATGTCCGGGAAAATACGGACGTATGGTAACCCTACTCTTTCTGCTTTTGGAAATCCTCACTTATCTTTCATATGCCTCCAAGTGGTTCTCAGCCCAGCCATTGGGAGGGAACTCAGAAGTGAGGAGGACAGTCCGGATAGCCTGACAAAGGGTCAAGTTGGGGTTATTTGCTAGAGAAAAACGGTAAGGGTTCATTCTGTTGTGGGTATGAGATTAAAAGTCTGGAGATCTTACATATGTTGGGGAAAGAAGGGGATTGAGGGTCAGAAAAACAAGCCTTTGTGCCGTTGTTTAAGAATATCTCCTATTTTCACCACTTTTGCAGGTGTGCTTGTAAATTAAGATGAAATATTGCAGATCTGGGAGTCTGTGATAAATAGCACCACATCCCTTACATGAAAAATACTTAACAGTTCAAGTGATTTCAGTTCACTTTTATTTATAAAAGTTCATATTTAAGATTAGAAATGCCACGTATTCTCACAAGGCAGTTCATCATGTAATGGAACAGGAGATCTAACTTAAGACCTGAACTGGGAGATCCACTCTTCAGAACTGTAAGAGACTAGGACCTATAAAATGTATCTGAGTCTCCAATTAAAGGAAAAGTCTCTGATGAAAATTACACCTCTTTGCCCAACCTTAAATTTGCCCCTTTTAATAATTTGCACAAATATAATGAAAAGTTAATAACACATTACTAAGAGATAGTAAAATTTCATTTCCTTAGCAAAGAGTCTACTTCCATTGTGCTATAATGCTAACAGATAGTACACAATTACTTTAAAAAATAAAGTACAAATGTTGAGCTCCAGTCCTGCACAGATTTATGCCTGTACTTAATAGGACTAATAGTGTATAAAGTTAAACATGTGCTTAATCTTTGCAGGATCAGGGTCTTAGTTGGTAAACATACCAATTAACAAGGGATACATAAACAAATCTAAAAAGGTAGGACAATTTCTACACTGATCTACACCTTGTAAAATTCCACTAAATCAGTGAGATTACCTGGGATGTAAATCAATGGGAAATTTGGCCTCATGCATTCATCCATTCCATAATCCCAAAGATAACATTTTACCTTTTTTCATAAAAATATCTTATTATTCAGTTAACCTATAGTATCAGAAAATGTGTGTGGAGTTCTAACAAACATTACTGCACGATGGGACTAAATTAGTTTATAAATCTGTAGTCCAGATTAAATCTATAGAATATTATTTCTTTTGCAACTATCCAATAAATCAGTTTAGAACATAGCGGGGGGTGGGGAGGGGAATAGTGTACGGTGAAGGGGAAGAAGAGAGGATAGTAAATGGAAAAGGTATATTTGGCATGACTGAAGTGGCTGCATCCTTTAGCTTGTCATTGCCAGACTTTTGACGGAGAAAAATTATTTTGTGGAAATTATAATACATTTCTTGTATGTTCAGTAGACACTGTTGATACATACTTTCAAATTGAATTCTTTTCTAGCCAAATTCTTTTGTTTAGCAATATTGCCTAAGCTTTTGTTTCAGGTGGCAGGGTTGACTTTCTATGCAGGGAGATTATACAGGCTGTTGATGCTTTAGCAAGAGTGTAAACTCAATCTAATCCATCTCTGAGCCAGCTTTCACCACAGGAGGGTGCTGCTATCATTCCAAAGGTTCAGGCTTTGCAAGGCTCAGTGTGGATCTTAGCGTGGAGTGTTTATTACAAAATGTCTGTGTGCTGCTGTCAAATACAGCTGAGGAAAAGGATTACACCAATATCCTGGCTTTCCTGGGTTCTGTGGTGCAGTGTGATGCTGTCTCCTGCTTGGGGTTATGTGATAGTCAACTCGGTTTCGTGGTCAGTTACCAATGAGGTGGAGGAAGAACTGGATAGCTCCTCAAACGAGGAGGC